TCATGCTCAGTAGGGTGGAGGGACAACACAGGAGGGGAAGGCCCTCTATGAGGTGGATTGATTCAGTGACTGGGATAATCGGGATGGGAATGTCAGAGACAGTGTGATTGGCACAGGACAGAGCAGAGTTTAGGGTTGTTGTACAAAGGGTTGCTATGAGTCTCAAGTGACTTGACGGCACATAACAACAACAACAACAACAACAACTTAGCTAATGGACTGGAAGAAATCCATGCAGCTGTGACGACATGTGGCTTTGGTGACAATTTGGACTTTTTTTCTAAATTACTTTTTATTTAAATGGAAAATGAACTTTTTAAAAAAAATCATTGTTAAAAAAATAATCACTGTTGCTCATTTTCTTCCCCTCCTCCTTCCCCCAGCCTGCCCCACAATGTACCCCTCGTTCCAGATTGTTTTCAGTACATATAATGCCTTATCATATATTCCTTTTGGACAGTTCTTGTCTGTTCTAATGCAGTGTTCATTATCTATCCACTCTTTTCTCATTCTTTCCCCAACACCCTTCCCTCATCTGTCTTATTTTATAACGGTGGTAAGCAGAATTTGTCCTTCTGTGTGTGAGATCTTTCACTTAGTATGATCTCCTCCAGGCTTCATATGTTGTGTAATGTTTTATGAGTTCATTGTTTTTTCAGTACTGCATAATATTTCATTGTGTGAATGTACTAGAGTTTTTGTATCCATTTGTATCCTTAGGTTGCTTCCATCTCTTAGTTATTGTGAATAACTCCACAATAAACATGGGCTGTGCATACATCTGTTTGAGTCATGGCTATGGTTTGTTTAGGATATATACCTGGGTTAAATGGTATTTCTATTTCTAACTTTTTGAGAAAGCACCACATTCCCTTCCATAGTAGCTATACCATTTTGCACTCTAACCAACAGTCAGAAGGAATGCCAATCTCTCCACAATGTCACCAGAATTTGTTGTTTCTCTTAACTTTGCTATTGTTGCTAGGGTGAGATGATATCTCATAGTTGTTTTGAAATGATCTTTTTTTTTTTTAAAAGGAGTCTTTCATTTTAGATTTTCACCTCTTAAATATATAAGCCCAGTATGACAAAAGACCTCAGAAGAGGTCTGATTTATGATTGATTAACCTTATTTTCTCATCCTTCCTAAAGTACATATTTTTTTCAGGGAAAACTAGAGTTATAGTTTAAAAAATTATGATATCGAACATTTATGTTGTTGTGTACTATCAAGTCAGAACAGACCCATAGCTGACCCTCCAGTGGGTTTTCAGAGGCAGTTAATTGCAAGAGAAGAGATTGCCCATCCTTTCCCCATACTATGGACTAGAACTGTGACTTTCCAGTATTATCACTAAACATCAGGAAACATGAAGCTCTTGAATATACATTGCTTTTTCACTTCTAAAACAACACCTCTGTTTTCCCTAGGAATTCCTGTTTTCCCAATGTATTTCTGCTAATGTTTAAAGTTCTAAATCCTGATCCTTATAGATTTAAACTTAAATTTAAAGTAAATGAAAGCCTCTATGTATGAGAAGTGACAATACTTTGGTAAAATTCCAAAATAGAATGCATATATAAAACATGAATAAAAGAGTGGATGGTCATCATCTCTAATTTGCTTTTAGTCTAAGAGCAATTTATGGCACAGATGATCTAAGGAATGCACTTCATGGAAGTAATGACTTTGCTGCAGCAGAAAGAGAAATTAGATTCATGTTTCCTGAAGGTGAGTTCTTTATGAAAAAGTTGGTAATCCCATCTGCTTATTATTTTCTTTTCCTACTTTTTGGGGGAGATCTAGCTAGGAGGGGAGATAATAGGATTTTTCTCTGATACATTATATTAGATTCTAGTTGTAGTTACTTCAAAATCTGAAGCCAAGAGAAATAAAACCATATATCTATAGTAAAATTGTTAACAGTTACAGCTTGCTCAACTCCACAATCAACAATCTTGGCACCAGCAGTTACAAATTGCATTAGGTAAATCTGCTATGAGGGACCTTCCCAGAGTACTGAGAAGCCACAGTCTAAAGACTAAGGTGCACCTGATCCAGGCCATGGTCTTCACAATGCTTGCTATGCATCAGAGCATTGGACAATGACTAATGATGACAGAAGAAGAATTGATGTCTTTAAGTTGTGGTGCTGGAGAAGACTCTTTAACATACCATGAAAACATGCCAAGAAAACAAATAGGTCTGTTTTGAGGAGGGTGAAACCAAGTTTCTCCATGGAAGCTAGGATTTTGAAGCTGTCTCACATATTTTGGCCATGTGGCCAAGAGAAGGATATCATGCTCGAAGGTGGAGTGACAGTGCAGGAGAGGAAGACCTCAGATGAAATGGATTGATACAGTAACTGGGGCAATGAGGGTAGGTGTGTCGGAGTTAGTGATATTGGTTCAGGACAGGGCAGGATTCAGAGCTGTTGTGCATAGGGTCACTATGAGTCACAGGTGACATGGCAACATATAACAACAACAAAGTAAAAATATTTTTAATGTGGATGCTAAATCCATTCAGTGGGGATTAGATGTTCTTGCTGTTGTTGTTACGAATCATAAAGACCCTATGAACCTTGCCCTATCCCGTACCATCATCATCTCTGCCATGCTGAAGCCCATTGCTAGAGTCACGGTGTCAGTTCATCTTGTTGAGGGTCTTCCTCTCTTCTTCTGATGCACCATCTTTGCCAGCATTAGGTTTTCCCCCCAAAACTGGCCACTCCTGACAACATGCCAAAAGTAAGTGTGACAGGTTTCACAATCCCTGCTTCTAAGGCATACCCTAGTGATGCTTCCTCCAACATAAATTTGTTTGTTCTTTTGGTATATATCCAAAAGTTGTACAGTGAATAAGGATGACAGAGGAGTCATTGATGCCTTTGAACCTTTGTGTTAGAATACTGAATATCTCACAGACTGCTGACCCTCCAGTGGGTTTTCAGAGATAGTAAATTGCGTGGAAGGAAAGTGCTTATTTTTCTCCCATGGAGCAGCTGGTGGATTCAAACCATGTGCCTTTGGGTTAGCAGTACAACTCCTCACTGCTAAACCACCAGAGCTCCCTTTTATTTCATTGTTGAATGTGTTGTTAGGTGACATTGAGTTGAGTACAGCTCATAGCAACTCTATGAACAACAGACCTAAACCCTGTCCGTCCTGTGCCATCCTCATCATCTTTGACAGACTTGAGCCCATGCTGCAGACACTGTGTCAGTCTGTCATGCTGAGGGGTCTTCCTCTCCTTTGCTGACCCTTCAGCTTTCCAAGCATGATATCCTTTCCCAAGAATAGACTCGCTTAGGTATGTGTCCAAAGTATGAAATACAAAGCTTTATCATCTTTGCCTTCAAGGAGTACTCTGGCTGCACTTTCTCCAAGACACATTTGTTCTTTTTGCAGTTCATGAAATATTCAGTGCTTTTCTCCAGTGCAACTCTAAGGCATCAATTCTTCTTCTGTCACATTATTCATTGTCTAGCTCTCTGATGCATAGCAGATGATTGAAAAGACCATGCCTGAATCAGGCATACATTGCTCTTCAAATTGACATCATTATTGTAGACTAATTAAAAGTTTTCCTGTGTTTAATTTATTCAACAAATTTATTTTGGTACTCTGGTGATGCAGTTCATGAGAATTTGCACTTCTAAGCCAAAGTCTGACCCCCTCAGGCAGTTCAAATCTACCAGTAGCTTCTGAGAAGAAAAGAGGATCATCTCCTCCTGGGTGAGGTATAGCCAGGAAAACCCAGCAGTGAGTCAGCTGTGAATTGGTTCTGACATCAAGGCAATACCATGTAGTTTTTTAGTTTTGAATATATGTCAGAAATGAAAAGATAAATAAGATAACCCTACTTTCAAGATGCTCATATTTTTAAAGTCTATAAGAAGAAATAGTGTAAGGTGTAAAATGATAAATGTCATATATTGTTGTTGATTGCCTTCAAGTCGAGCATGACTTAACGCGACCCTATGAACTAAAGGCCTGAAGCCCCTCTACAACTATCAACATTTATCAAAGTTCATAGTTTCTGGAAGCATGTTGTTTAGGAAGTAGATGCCACTCCTGCTTCCAAACCTGTCATAGAATGTTACTGGTTGAGTTGCCTGCAATGCATAGCAACCCTATGTACAGCAGTTCTGAACTCTTCTCTGTCCTGAGCCAGTGTCACTAATTCTGACACACCAACCTAGATGAAAAAGCAGTCGTCTGAACAAAACAAAATTACCCTGCATGGTTTAAAACCAGGAAAGGTGTGCATCAGGGTTGTATCCTCCCCCCATAGCTATTTAATCTTTATTCGGAGCAATTTGAGAAGCTAGAGTATATGAGGAATGTGGCATTATGATTAGAGGAAGATTCATCAACGGCCTGCATTGAATAATTGGCACAACTTTGCTTGCAAAAAGTGGAGAAAAGATTGACATTATTAACAAGTTCAGTTAATTTAGAAAAATAACATAGAACAGAAATGCTAGTACTTACATTAGAGCAAGAAATAATTTTTATATGCATATTCACTATAAAGAGCTAGATACTCACTATTGTATATGTTTTACTTAGAACAGTAACAGCTATATATTGAGCTCCAAATGATATTATTGAATGAAAAAATCGATCTCCTAGCTGTTACAGATTGATTTGTTTTTCTTTCACAATATTACTCATTATAAAAATAATATTGTAGGAAACATGGAAGTGTAAAAAAAGATAAAATTGAAAACTAATTCAACTAGAATCTTATTAATCATCCCTGTTAACATTTTATATGCTTCTTGCCAGTTGTATTTCTTGGTAGTTGTGGCTTTTTAAAAACATTTTTTAAATTTTATACTGGTTTACTTACAAAGCTTGTCTACTTTGTTTTTCACAGCAGGTGATAGGGTGAGTAAAGGAAAGTTGCTTTTGTTTTTAACCAAACTGTTGCTGCAGTCTTCAGGTGCTCATCTGCTGATCTAAAGGACAGCAGTTTGCGCCCACCAGACCCTCCTTGGGTTGAAATTAGAGCCTTAGAAATCCCGTGAAGCAGTTCTTCTCTCTTCTATGGCATTACAATGAGTTGATGTGATAGCAGATGGCTTTATTTTGTTGTTAGGCTATTAAGTTGGTTTATTCTTTTAAACATTAAAGACATTTCTCACATCTTCAAGGAGCACTGGTGGTTAAGTGGTAAGAAGCTGCGCTGCACCTCTGAAGGCACACAGTTCAAATCCACCAGCTGCTCTGTGGAACAAGGATGGGCAGTCTCCTTCTATGCGATTAACTGCCTCTGAAAACCCACCGGAGGGTCAGCTCTGGGTTGGTTCTGACTTGACAGCACACAAGAACAGATGTTTCTCATACCATTAAAAATTATTTGAAGGCATCTTTTTAACAACTCTATAATATATTGTTATTTATGCTTCATAAAAGCATATTTGTATTCACAGTGGTGATTGAACCAATTCCAGTTGGACAAGCTGCTAAGGATTATCTGAATTTGTACGTAATACCAACTCTGCTTAAAGGACTCACAGAGCTGTGCAAGCAAAAACCAGCAGATCCTTTTGTAAGAATTTTTTTTTCGTGTACACTGAAGTATTATCTATAGTTTTGTGTTTAAGATATTGATTTAAAAGCATTGATAGCCGTTTTAAAAGAAAATTCAAAAAAATCTACTTCATAAAAAACAAAGCAAAACAAAATCACCCTACTTCATATCTATTTTGTATATTTCTTTTGTGTAACTTTTGATTGCTTCTTTTCTTGCTGTTTTTAACTCTTTTATGGAAGTCATTCTAAGTAGTATGCTTTAAATGATCACATTCTTCAGTTGCTGAGCATTGTTTTTGGGTGTGGTTTATATGGTAATTCAAATGGTATAAGTGAAAATATGTTTGAGTGATTTTTTGCTCAGTTTCCCCCCCTAACATCTCATATTTTTTTAAAAGAACAACTTATTCACATGTCTAAATACCTCAACATTTCTTGGAGCTAGAGTAGAGTACTAAGTATCTTGTATGAATGGTCTGCGCTTAATTAATTGGTCATTTAGGTTGCTTCTACTCTTTTGTTGTTATAAGCAATGCTATAATAAATATCCTCATTTATGCATCAGCATACCATTTTATCTGATAAATTCCTAAAAATGAGAATACTGAATAAAAAGTAAGGTACAGTTTTATTTTAATAAGTATTGCCAAATAACTTTTTTGCTATGGTTGTACCATTTATACACCAATCAGCAGTGACTGAGAAGACCTGTTCTGTGTGCAGCCTTTGTTTTTTACTAAACTGATAGGTGAAATTTCATAGTGTAATTTTTAATTCTTTTGTCATGATTGAGTGTATTTTCTTCTTTTTCAACTTAAATATATGTGTTTGGAGGGTGGGTAGGTAGAAAAGTGCAACAATGAATGACGGGAAGCCCTAAGTCTCTGTAAACTTTCATTAAAATTAATAAAAAAAAGATAGGTGTTTGTTTTATATGAAATTTTTGCTTTCTCTAGTTTTCTTTTGAGTTTTAGGTCTTTTTTTTAATTGACAATTTAATGACAGTTTATAGAGACTTTGGATTTCCATTCATTCATTGTTGCACCTTTTCCTCCCTGCCCACCCTTTCCCCCAGTATGCTTTTCTCTTTGATAAGAAAAAAAAATTACTTCATTGTTAGACAATCCCTCCTCCCTCAGTCCACTTTACTATGAAGCTCTTATTCTGGACTCTTGTTATGACAATAATACCTAATCATATATGCCTCTTAAACAGTTCTCTTCCTCATCTCTTTAATGCAGTGTCCATTATTTATCTCCTCTTTTCTTAGTTTCTCCCCAAACCCCCATGTCAGTCCTGTTTTGTAACAGTGGCATTATGCAGTATTTGTCCTTTTATGACTGAGATATTTCACTCAGCATAATGTCCTTGCTGCTCTGTTGAATTTTGCTATTGGCATTGGAGTGAGATGATATCTTTACTATATAGTAACACTGTATGTTTGGGAAGCCAATCCTCTGTGGTATGTTTATAGCCTCTGGGTTTCTGACTATGTTTAAAGAAAGTTTTCTGCTCTAAGATAATTAGGAATATGCTTCCATGCATTTAGTGTTTTATATTTTAAACTTATGTCTGTTCATTTGTAAGTTCACTTCACTGGCCTAATTATTATTGTTGTTGTTTAATGCCATCAAGTCGTAGACGACTCATAGCGACCCTATGAACGAACAGCCTGAGCACTGTTCGTACATAGAGTTTCCAGAGGCAAGCCATTTTGGAAGTGGATTGTAGCTTAAAAATATTTTTAAATTACTAACTGTAAACTTTCCAATTATTTTCTTTTTCATAATTTTCTTGTCTTTCTTTGCTTTATCATTTTTATTATAAATATGTTCAGATTACAAAGAGAGGAAGACCCTCAAGATGAAGGATTAGCACAGTGACTGTGATAGGTAATAATTGTAGGGGTGATGCCGGATAGGGCACAGTTCAGATCTGTTGCTCATAAGGTCGCTGTGAGTCAGGGTCAATTTGATGGAAACTAACAACAGTAATAGTAACAACCCTCATTTTTTCTTTTTTAAATAAAATAGTTTGATTTCTTTTTGGTGATAATACATACAACCATAAATATATTCATTGACAATTTCTACATGAACAGTTACATAATATTGATTATGTACTTTACCTTTTATTCCCATTCTAAAGACCCATACTTTTCCATCGCTATTAATTTAGTTTCTCAACCCCTTAAAGTTCTCATCTATGCTGTAGATTAACTGTTACCAGTTTGCATTAATATAAACTATTTTCATTAAGAGTCTAATGCTCAAGTAAATATTGTTTATTAATTGAGTTTAAGTGTTTAAATTAACAGTGACTTCATGGAGTGGGTTTTGATCAAGGTTTAAAGACAGTGTATGAATTGAGAAAAGAAAAAAAATCAAACCTTGAGTGGCAATATAGAAGGATTTTATGTGAAAAATATTGAAAGATGCAGGAAACATCAAAAAAGGTGGAAGGAATACAGAATCTGTAATAGAAATATTAGTTGATACTTAGTCATTTTAGGAATTACCATAGAATTGAAGTTCTATGCTGAGAAAACAAAGATTCTTACCACTGGACTGACTGGCAGCATCATGATAGATGGTGAAGAGATTGAGATTGTTAACAGCTTCAGTTTGCTTGACTCCACAATCAACACTCTTAGTACCAGCAGCCAGGAAATCAAAAGATAGATTGCATTGGGAAAATCTGCTGTCAGGGACTTCACCAGAGTTCTGAAGAGCGATGATGTCAGTCTAGAGACTAAGTGTACCTGATCCAGGACATGGTCTTTGAAATTACTTGCTATGTATCACAAAGCTGGGCAATGACTAAAGATGATAGAAGGAGAATTGATGCCTTTGAGCTGTGGTTCTGGAGAAGAGTATTGAATATACCATGGACTGCTAGGAGAACAAACAGGTTCATCCTAGAGAGGGTGAGACCAGGCTGCTCCTTGGAGGCAAGGATTCTGAAGTTCCATCTCACATACTTTGGTTGCAAGGAGGGACCAGTCCTTGGAGAGGGACATCATGCTTAGATGGGTGGAGGGACAGCACAAGAGGAAGACCCTGGATGAGATTGATTGATTCCATAACTGGGGTAATAGGGGTAGGTATTTCAGAGACAATGAAGCTGGCTCAAGATAGAGCAGGGTTCAGAGTTATTGTACATAGGGTCACTATGAGTTGCAAGTTACTCAACAGCACATAACAACAAAAACAACTACAACTATCCACAGTGCTGAAGAAGTCTAGGCTGAATACAGCATTGGGGTAAAACAAGGATCTAGGAATTGATAGAATACCAATTAAGGCATTTGAATAAACAGATGTAGTTCACTTGTCTTTGCCAAGAAATTAGGAAGATAGCTTCCAGGTTAACTGATTGGAAGCAACTCATATATGAGTCACTAATAAAATATATTCAACAAAATATAGAAGTCATCAAACAGTATGATTAACATGATATATAAATAAAATCTTGCTGGGGATTATTAAAAAATGGGTTTTGTTGTTGTTGTTGTTGTTTACTATAGAGTTGGAACAGAACCACAGCTGACCCTCCAGCCAGATTTCAGAGGCAGTAAATCACACAAGAGGAGATTGACCAAATTTCTCCCAAAGGGCAACTGGTGGGCTTGAACTGTGTACCTTTTCGTTAGCAGCACAGTTCTTTACCACTAATCCACCAGAACTCTGAAAAGTTATTAGAACAGAACATTGACGGGGGATGGCCAGACATTTAGGCTAGATTCAGAAGAGGCCGTGGCATAAGGCATCATTGCTGATGTCAGAGGTATTTTGGTTGAAAGCAGAAAATTCCAGAAAGATGTTTACTTGTGTTTTATTTACTACTCAGAAGAATTTGTTTGTGAGGATCATAATAATTTATGGATAACATTGAGAAAAATGGGAATCTCAGAATACTTAACTGTGCTCATGTGGAACCTGTACATAGACCAAGAGACAGATAATCAAACCGATCAAGGAAATATGAATACTACATGGTTTGTGGGGGGAAAAAAGTTTTGTGTCAGGGTTGTATTCTTTCACTATACATATTCATTCTGTTTATTGAGCAGACAGTTTGAGAAGCTGGACCGTATGATGAGGAATCTAGCATCATGATTAGAGGGAAACTCATTAACAGCCTGAGCATTGCAGATGACACAGCCTTGCTTGCGTAAAATAAAGAAGATTTGAAACTCTTGTTGATGAAACTAAAAAAGTGTAGTCTTCAACATAGATTATACCTCAGCATTCGAAAATTCTCATGAGTGGACTAATATACAACATTGTCATAAATAGAAAAAATATAGATGTTGTCAAGGATTTCATGTTGCTTGGATTCCAGTTGACATGTGTGGAAATTGCATTGAAAAACTGAGGGAGCTCTGGTGGCCTAGTGGCAGGAAGCAGCACTGCAATCCCCAAAGCACACAGTTTGAATCCACCAGATGCTCCTCTGGAGAAGGAGGGGCAATCTCCTGTGCCAGTCGGATCTGATTCAAGGCACACAACAGAAGAAAAAAACAAAACAAAACCACCCAACATTAAAATTACATATTACAGTGGTCACATCTGTTGCCACAAACCTCTTTAAAGTGCTGGACAGCAAAGGTGCCACTTTGAGGACTAAAGTGGATGTGAGTTAAGCCATGATAGCTTAATTTACTTCTGATGTATGTGAAAAGTTGGACAGTGAACAAGGAAGATCAAAGAAAAATATCTTTGAATTGTAGTTATGTTAAAGAATATTCAGTGTATCGTGGCTTACCAGAACAATAAACAAATCTTACACAGCAGAGAGGGTAAGAACGGCACAGGGTCAGGCAGTGTCTCATTCTGTTGTGCATAAGGTTGCTGTGAGTTGGAGCTGAGTCAGCACCAAACAACAACAGCAGCACAGTGTTTGTGTATAGATTTATTATGTGCTATCTGATAATTACCACTTTACCAAATCCATGCCAATATTGTGGAACAGACAATCAGTTGTGTTATCTGCTAGTCCCAGTGAAAGTTGAAGACCATTAAAACAAGCCCATGAGAGCCAAAATAAAACCTTAAGTTTATTCTACCTGAATTTAAAAGTCGACTAAAAAATAGATTTGATCAATTGAATGCCAGTGACCAAAGACTAGATGAACTAGTTGTGGAATGACATCAAGGAAGTCATCCATGAAGAAAGCAGAAAGAAAAGACCAAAACGGATGTCAGATGAAATGGAAACATACTCTTCAATGTAGAGAAGCTTAAGCAAAAGGAAGAAATCATGATATAAGAGCACCAACCAGAAGATTCCAAAGGATGGCTCGAGAAGACAAAGCAAAATATTTTAACAAAATAGACAAAAATTTGGCCAGACGGGAGAACGCCGCTGCCAGATGGAGTTCCACCGCGAGAGGGGCCTGGAAGAGACCCGGGAAGAACAACAGCCAGCCACCTACCACGGAACTCCAGAGGAGCGAAGACTGTGAGACCCCAGAGGAA